CGACCTCCTCGACTTCCAAAACAAAACTGAGCAGCGGCGACCTCTTCAAGTGTAAGTGCGATTGGTAGTTTACAGTAGCCAATTAGACATCACGTAATCGACCAATAGATCAAATCGAAGTGCAAGAGTGATTGCTAGTGTACAGTAGCCAATCAGACATCATGTAATCCACCAATAGCGTGCAGCCACTCTCATTGGTTGCTGTATAATTATTCTAACGTCATATTTTTTATAATTTTATATTTTTTGGTAGTTTATTAACAAATTTATTGTTGTAATTATTTAAATTTATTAATTTTTTTTAACTTAATCTTGCAGATATGTTGCAAAATGATTATTTATTAATATACATATATGTATACATATATCGTGAATTATTAGGTACTTGCCTAATCTGAACGCCCCCTTATGCAGGTTCATCGCCGCGCCATCTAGCAGTAATACGCGGAGCTACAATAGAAACTTCGCTGATAGTATATTACCGTAGATGTGTAATTAATTAGTTACCGATAAAATCCGGTCGGTACTCTGCACGTGTTCGTCATAGTTCAGCAGTTTGTTGTTAGATGGCGCTGTTAAGAGCATTTGTGGCGGTTTTTTTAAAAGATTGTTTCGACATTTACATTCATGTAGTATTAAATTAATACATTGAAAAATCAAAAGTGTTTTTAAAAAAAATTATATTTTAATGTATTAAAATACTATATGAATGTATAATGCATTGTTTCTATTGTACTCGTCAAACTTTAAAATTAAGTACTATGATATACAAACCAATGTATTAATTGACAATATATGTGAAGTGTGAAGTATGCTTCGGATGCGCACAAAATCCCGCCTTTATCTTAGAAGACGCAAAACTTGCGTGACAAATGACAGATATTCGTTTTAACATATTGAATAATTAATACGTATCTATATAAACACCTATACTTAAACTTTACATTCAAATATTATATTTGACAAAGAAATTAAATAAAAAATTGAATGTTTTTCAGATTTATATGAAAAATATAGAAGACTCTGACTTAATATCTTTACTTGTTATTGTTTTCCAGAAACTAAGAAAATAGTTTGTTACTTTTTTGTTTGTTTGTTAATAGTTTGTAAACGTTGGTAATATATTAATTATACAGTGCTTATTGTTACTTTTAATAATGAAACAAGCGGTATTCTGTATTTATCCTATAACTTATCTTACTATAAATGTTATTTTTAGATAAATATGGCAGATATGTTAACCAGAGATGAAATTAATGTAAAAAATAATCAGATTTCTAACAATATGTACCTACATAATTTACAAATGTATAGCATTCCACCATCTGGGTATGTCAAATTAGAAGAATTACAAGAGTGGTGTGTCAACCGATTAAAATGTAATTATATTATGTTTAGTATATAACATTAAAATTACATTTGTTAGCTTAATTAAACAGGAATGAACAGAAGCTTAACTCCCAAAAATGTAGACTCTAATATAATACTTTCATTCCAGTATTAAAATTAGTAAAGCAAATATCAGTACAAAATTATAAAAGATCATTTAAACATTGTTTGAATGCCTTGATAAAAGAACTGGAAGGAAATGATCTACACAATTTTTTAAAACTCATAAGTACACCTGACTGTCAATTACAAGAAACAAATAAACAGTCTTTAAGAAGAAATGATTGCATGTCACATTTCTTATTAAGAGCTGCATTTTCTTTTGAACATAGGAAAAGGCAATGGTTTTTTGAACAAGAAGTAAACTTATTCAAATGGAGGTGTTCTTCCTTAGATGAAGAAAATATGAAAACATTTATTACTACTCATGATCTTCAATTTCCATTTGTTAGTAACTTATATAATGTTTCTTATTAAATGAGATACATGTTATTCGTATTTGTTAGTAAATATACTTTCTCTAGATTTCTGAAGTTGAAAAACAAAATATTAAAGAAGACTTAGAAATATCTTGTCCTGATAAAGATATTAAAGATGTAAAGTTTTATAAAGCACATTTTACTAAAGTGCTCAGTTTAGTTAAAAGGCGACAAGTGTTTTTGCAAAATGGTATTGCCTATGTACCAGAAACAAAGATATGGTGTTTAATTCTTTCCAAATTTAAGAAAATATTAAATGATGGATTTTTGGTAAGATTATAGTAATATAATTATATGTTTTAAAGAGTTATAGTGCTTTTTTTAAAAGTTATATCTTATTCCAGTATGGACGAGAGATGGCATCAAATGCTTATAATGATGAAAGGATAACAAATATTCTTGCTGCACTTCCAAAGTGTATTAATACAACACATTTCAAGTATAATAAATTTAGAGAAGTAACCATTAGTGAGTTGGATGAGGTATATTTGAACTTTAAATATTGCTTATAATTTATATTCATATTAAAAATTATAAACTTGATTTGATGTTCTTTTTCAGTTATCAAGAACATCTTACCCATTATGTATGAGAATACTTCATGAAGCATTAAAAACAAATCATCACCTTACAAATGGTGGTAGAGTCCAGTACTGTTTATTTCTTAAAGGAATAGGTCTTAATTTAGGGGATGCATTGAAATTTTGGAAAGATGAATTTACTAAGAAAATAAATGAAGTCACTTTCAATAAGGAATACAAATATCATATACGGCATTTGTATGGCATGGAAGGAAGACAAGCAAATTATGAACCATTTCATTGTACAAAAATATTCAATTCTACTGTTGGTTTACGAGACAATCATGGTTGTCCATTTAAACATATGACTCATGATGTTCTCAGAAAAACACTTTTTAAGTGTGGATTAGTTCACCAAGGTAAATAAATTAAGAATATTTTAGTGTATGTCAGAAATGAGTGGGTTAAATTAGCTTGTGACACAGTTAATTTATTTAAATTTATGCCTTCAAGATGTGAAATCAATAGTGCAACTTTCAAAAGAAGGATCATATCTTCAAGCTTGCAAAAATTATTATGAGATTACCCATAATTGTATAACTGAAAAAAGTTTTGACCATCCAAATGTCTACTTTGATTACAGCTGTACAATGTTTGAAAATATGTATTTAGGTAAGACTAACAAATTTGTTTTATCTTTGAACTAAAATTTTTACTTTATAACTTTATTATTTTAGACACAGAAGACTGAAAGATACGTTTCATAAAAGTTAACAAAGTGAACAATGAAAAATGAATATTTTGTTTAATGCATTTGTATAGTATAAGATTTATTATTTTCAGTTTACTTCAGAAATAATTATACTGATTTAACTACAGATTGATTGTACAGTACTAAATATGAATTAAAAAATTCGAAAGTTTACAGTATAAAAAAATACGAGTGCATGTGGTCGGTGTTAAGAACTCATAAGTGCGCTTGCGCGTTATTCGATCAGTATCGATTCACAGAATGAATAAACTCGTCATTCGATAATCGATAGGTTCAATTCTACGCGACTCAACGTATACTTCAAATGTAACTAAAGTTAACCCAACTTCTCTTACGAAGAAGCGTCGTGCGTTTATATTATAAAACAAATGTAAATGTGTTGTGTTTCGAAAAAAGTATAGAAGATAAAAAGTAACAATGGATTTTCAAAATCGACCTGGAGGCAAAACTGGCGGTGGAGGCGTTGCCTCCTGGTCAGAGAGTAATCGTGACAGAAGAGAACGATTACGACAACTTGCATTAGAGACTATTGACCTCAACAAAGATCCATATTTTATGAAAAATCATTTAGGCTCTTATGAATGTAAATTATGTTTAACACTTCACAATAACGAGGGCAGTTATCTGGCTCATACACAGGGTAAAAAGCATCAAGCAAACTTAGCTAGAAGAGCTGCTAAGGAAGCGAAGGAAGCACCTCAAACACTTGCGCCTGAAAAACCTCGAGTAGAACCGAAAAAATTCGTAAAAATTGGACGACCTGGATATAGAGTAACGAAACAACGTGACCCAGAATCAGGACAACAAAGTTTATTATTTCAAGTTGATTATCCAGAAGTTGCTGACAATGTTATTCCTCGACACAGATTTATGTCAGCATATGAACAAAGGGTTGAACCACCAGATCGTAAATGGCAATACCTGTTATTTGCTGCAGAACCTTATGAAACTATAGCTTTTAAGGTAATATCAATAAAACTATTTGTGAAGGCAGTACTTATCAGATTCTGCTTTAAAATATAATATTCCAATGTTTCAGGTCCCTAGTAGAGAAGTTGAAAAAGCAGAAGGAAAGTTTTGGACTCATTGGAATAAAGATACAAAGCAATTCTTTCTTCAGTTTGCATTTAAGAATGAAAAACCATCTGTTGGCAAAGTACCACCACCTCCAGTTCCTTTAATACGACCTGGTTTAGGACCACCTATGGTACCAGTTCCACCACCACCAAGACCACCAATGTTTAACCCAGTACCACCACCACCAGCTCTTTTAGCCACAGGAATGCAAATACCTCCTCCACCTCCACATCTAGCATAATTCTTTGATATATAATTGTAAACAATAAATTTGATTTATACGACTTCTATAATTTGAAGACATTACACTTAATACTATTTGAGATTTCAAGTATCTCATATAGTGTTAGATGTAGTAGTGCAAGTTATAATTCCCGATGATGAAATGAAACATACGTTTCCTTTATTGTAAACAAAGTATTCTTATTTTTGTGTGGAATATTTCATCTTGTATATAACAAAAGTACAAATATATTCTTGATTTCTTATATGCAGCCCCTACCTTATATTATACATAAAGACTGAAGTATAATACACAAGTTATGTAACTTATTTAAACTGTTCATTTATTTTTACTTCTACAGAAATATGTATTTTCACTTTATAAATTAAAAATTGATTACGGAATCAATGAATGAAAACGAATGCAGGTACTGTGTTTATATGCATATATATATATATAAAAAATAAATACAACAAAAGTAGAGAAATTCGGTTTTTCGTTTTTTTTTTTTCATTTTTATTAATATAAACTTAGTAGAATGTACAGCAAGTTTATTCGTAAAAATAGTCGTTCCTGAAACAAACAAAATTGAAGTGTTATATTCACAAAAATTAAGTTAAAACTTCAGTGAATTATATTCAAATTTTTCAGAATAGAACATTCTACACGATTTTAAGTGTTGTACGCACTTTTAAGACCGCCCGTTCACAATATCATCATAAAATACTTTATTGTACAAATGCAAGCAATACTTTTAATAAACACATGATGTATATACCTTCATGCTTAAGCACTAAGGACGCAAACACCTCCAACAGCCTTAATTTTGTCTTCTGCTGATTTGCTGAAAAATTTAGCTTTAACGATAACTGGTTGTTTAGGAAGGTGGCCTTTTCCTAGGAGCTTGTAGTATCCCTATAAAATAAAATAACAAATAAGGATATGAACACAAATATCCACTTACATGTAAATACATATTAATATTTTGAAACTTACCGCTTTTACGAGATCAATTATTGGTACTTTCCCTGTTGAGTCTTTATATTTTAGCCTGGTCTGTTCAGAAACTAATGTCCATAGTTTGTCCAAGTTTAAAGTGGGACACCATTTTGTATTTCTCCTTAAGTGATAATTTCGCATACCAAGCTACAAACAAAAGCATAAGAAGTTACAAAATGCTAAGCACAAGATACATATTTAATGTTTGTACGTTCCATCAGAATATAAAGTGCATTCAATGTAATTCAGTTCGCCGGTAAAAAATACTATCATCAGTCATACAATTGCCAAAATTAACTTTTTATTTAACTCTAATTTTTGAGTATGATATATATACAGAACTGATACTCACTTTACCGAAGTAACCAGGATGGTATTTATCAAAGTTGATACGGTGGTGGTGCAACCCACCAGCATTACCGCGACCTCCAGGATGTTTCCTGTGTTTACCTAAAATAAAGACAAATTTTTATTGTTAATCTTACAGTTTCTTACAGTTACTTATAAAAGGCGGGTTTGACTGATATTTCGTACACTGTCGTACCTATGCGACCATGTCCATGACTCACATGACCACGAAGCTTCCTGGTCTTCTTCTTGTGTGTTGACTGTCAACAATAAAAAAGAAAAAGCAAATAAGTTACACAAGTTAATTACTTACAAATTTGTAGAAATTGTAACGCATGTTTTGTCACAAAGGTTAGATTTAACAAAATCATATGGATAGGAATATCTATAATTAAATATTTCAATACCCATAACAAAAAATAATAACTTCAAGCAAAAATTTATGAAATTTTTAATAAGATTATCAGTTTTTCTGTTTTATTTATGCACGGATGTTGTTAACAATACTGGATGAAGTACAACAGTTCCAACATCATCTACTCACCATCTTGATCGCAGTGTAAAGAACGAGACGCGTGTTCTTTACATGGAAGTTGCTATTTTTCACGCAGATGGCGTATGTGTGTAACAGTAGAAATGTTATTCTAAGCTAACTTCAGTAAGATTTCCACCCATTCGATATTTTCTCACTACTAGGTGTGAAGAAAATATCGAGAATGCTGAATTGCTGAACCACCATTCTTAATGTAGAAAGTGCACAAAATAAAAGACCACTGAGTATATTTGATGTATGTCGTAAGAACGCTTGCACGTTGCTCTTTATTACATGATTTTCCATGAAACGAATAGTTGATTATAAAAAAATTAACAAATTAATTATACTAAACTAATTATTTACAATCCCATGCAAATTTTAATTCATATTTTGGATCATTTTTAAATATGCGTGTTTTGCGGTATTTTAAAGAAACAAAACGATTTTATACTTTTAAAGTAATGGAAATGAAAATAATTATATTAAATGAATTATTTTTACCAATGATAATTCTTGTTATAAATTTATCGCATATTAGAAATTATTTTTAATTTTTATGTGTTGCGCATCTTAAACAATTGCTATAATGTATGGTTTAGTAGCGCACATAGCCGTGCAGGCCCGGTTAAAGGTGCAGGTAAAGATTCGGTGATCTGATGAGTTATTTGTAATCATTTCTAGTTCTGATATATTTGAATGTGAAGTTGAGTCTAATTGTAAAAAGAATTTTGTAAGTATAGTTATAAGACAATTGTGGACGTATACAAAGAGAATCTTGAAAGTAGTTCAAGATGCAGGAATCTCAACCGAAGAAAGGCAAGAAAGGTGAGAAAATAATGATGCGTTTTACATAAATGTGTCATCAAATAAGAAAAAAATAATAGCTTTTTAAATCTCTATATTAGTTACCGTTTTTTATTGAAGTTTTCGGATTTTCAACTCGTTTAATAAACGTCGTCTGCTTTAACTTAACCTCAACTTAACCGCTTTTATGTTACATACGGAAAGGATAATATTGTATTTTTACTAGTTTTACGATGTCTATAATTTGGTAGTTTAAACTTTGGTTTGTCTATTTTATTTTAAGATTGTAAAAGTTTAAAAAAGTTTGAATAATGTTTTAAAATACTTTGGTTATGCAGCTCATATTTCATAACTTCAACATGGTATTAGATAACGTGATCTTGCCTCGAATATAAATATGTTATAGATAATTTAATTCATGCATTAAATGTTCTATCAATGAAGTGTTCTATAAATATATCGATTCTTGAAACTTGCAGAAGGTGAAAGTTGTTATAATGTAGATGGTGAAAGTTACAAATACCTTGAGTGATGTAGGATAATTTCCTGATTTGTTTAAGCAATTTGTGTAGAATGTATTAACAATAAAGTGCAATTTTGTCAATCTTTAGTATACAAGGTTTATTATTTGTAATATAAATCAAATAGTTAAAATAGTTTTTAATAGGTACTTTTTAGTATTTTAATCTTTTACTTCTATCAGTTTTATAAAACAGTATGTCACTGAAAAATACTCATATTTTATACTGAAATTCACATTTTGATTACATCCTTGATTATATATCTTGTTATGCAGATTAAAGACTATGATGCTTCTAAAAACTCTAGTTTTCCATCACATACATGTACATACATAATCATTTCCATTTTAACAATGCATTATAAAATGATGTAGATCGATATCTGATTTAATCTATGACTATTTGTTGATAATCAGCCAGAAGAAAGCGCAACGATAGTGATGAAGATATTGAGAAAGTCTTGGCTGAATTGGAGTTAGAGTATACTGGACAAACGAAAGAAGAGAAGAATGAACCAGTTGAGCAGAAACCTGAAGATGAGGAAAAAAAGAAAAAAGGGAAAAAGGAGAAAGGGAAAAGAGACAAAGGTGATATTATTGACATTAAACAAGAATTAAAGAGTGGAGTACTTCTGGAAGATGATGATATTGATGATGATTTTGAAATTGGCACTGTAAAAACTGCTGCACAGAAGAAAAAAGAAAAGAAAGAAAGAGAAAAACAGAAGAAACTTGCCCAGAAGAAAGCGGTATGTAATTAATATATTTCTTTTTTCTTCAGCATTTAAAATATATATTATAATTTATCATGTTTAATCTGATCGTAACAGGAAATGGCTAAGAAGACCGAAAATGAAGAAGTAAAGAACGAAGTTGTGCCTGAAAAGCAAACTAAAAAAGAATCACAAGCAAAGGTACCAGAAGTAAAGGATGTCAGTGCAACAGATGCTGCTGTGCCTGCTGAGGGTGAGGAGGGAAAAAAGAAGAAAAAGAAAGCAGGAAAGGAAGAGGCAAAAGAAAAAGAAAAAGGTAGAAAACAGCTTGTTGTCATTTTCTGTTTTCAATATAGTAAATTAATACGATTTGTAATTGTTAGGATATAACATTAATTGGTCTCTACATTTAGTATAATTAGATATGTGCAATAGGCAAAGGTCCTGGGAAGAAAACTATTGCTGCTATGCAAGAGGCCTTAAAGAAATTAAAGGAAGAAGAAGAGAGATTAAAGAGGGAGGAAGAAGAAAGAATACGACAAGAGGAATTGAGAGAACAAGCTCGGTTAGAACAGCTCAGACTTGAACAGGAGCGCAAAGAAAAGAAGAAACTTAAAGAAAAACAACGAAAGGAAAGGTTAAAGGCAGAAGGAAAGCTTTTGACAACCAAACAGAAACAAGATAGGGCAAGAGCACAAGCCATGATCAATGCATTAAAAGCTCAGGGTCTAGATTTGCCAGATGTAGGAGAAAAGAAACCAAGAGCAGGTAATTAAAGATTATAGGAGAATTAAAGATTAAAGGTTATAGGTACATATTCAGATATGTGAATGTGAATCGTTTTAGGAACTCGTATAAGACCAAATAAAATGAAGCAGCAGGTGAGTATCGATGAGAAGGATGATGAAAAACTGGAGGAGAGTATAACAGATACGGACAGAGTCGAGGTAGAAATTGTAGATCAACAATCGAAGGAATCGGAAGAAAAGAAAGATGACGTTAAAGACTCCTGGGATGCAGAATCTAGTGAAGATGAACAAGAAGAAGGTATTAAAACGCATAACATATTTAATGTCCACTTAAAGAAACGTGTTTTAATATATAGTAACTTAACAGATAAATCAGATGATGCAACGAAAACTCCTGTAAAACATACAGAAAGAATTCTTCCGCTCGATAAAGCCAAACCAGCACAAACCCTAATAACTAGCAAAGAATCTTCGGAGAGTGAGTCAGAAAGCGAAAGTGGTAGTGAGTCTGAATCGGACGAAAGCGAAGATGATAGTGGAGTAGAAGATAAAGTTTCGGATGCAGCGAAGAAAAAGGAACGAATTAGAGAACGAATACAACAGCGGAGGATAGAAGCGGAAAAGAAACGATCATTAGATAATCTTAGAGCCGCAGTAGTTTGCGTTTTAGGCCATGTCGATACTGGAAAAACTAAAATTCTCGACAAATTAAGAAGAACGAATGTACAGGATGGCGAAGCAGGCGGTATTACTCAACAAATTGGTGCCACGAATGTTCCGATTGATGCCATTCGAGAATCAACGAAACACGTGAGAGGGGTAAGTTACGTTTCCAAATAATTATCTTATATTTAACAATATTTAACAATAACGTTTAATAACATATTTTTTTTTAGTATGCCGACAAGAAATTTAAAATACCTGGGCTCTTAATTATAGATACTCCTGGGCACGAATCTTTCAGTAACTTAAGAAACCGGGGATCTTCTCTTTGTGATATAGCGATATTAGTAGTAGATATTATGCACGGTTTAGAGCCGCAAACTATCGAAAGTATTAACTTGCTGAAGGCAAAGAAATGTCCTTTCATCGTAGCATTAAACAAAATCGATAGGTAACACACTTTACATCAATCATTATGCTTCTGGTCGAATATGTCGTACTACAAAACACAATTTTCGTAGATTGTACGATTGGCAAACTATGAGTCGGAAAGATGTCCAAGATATTGTAAAAAGTCAAGCTATAAATACGCAGCGAGAATTTGAAAAGCGCTCGAAAGATGTGATCGTACAATTTGCTGAACAAGGGTTGAACGCTGCATTATTCTACGAGAATCCAGATCCTAAAACATATGTTTCCCTTGTACCTACTAGTGCGATTACAGGTAAATTATAGTCTACCCCGGTATTTTGGGGGTTGAGTCAACTCGAAAGGGTTCCTTTCATACAAATTTTGCAATCCAGTTAATAAGAATATTTTTTCTTTACACAGGTGAGGGAATGGGTAACCTGTTGTCGTTAATAGTCGACGCCTGTCAAGGTCCACTAGCTAAAAGACTCATGTACTGCGAAGAGCTTCAAGCAACAGTTTTAGAAGTGAAAGCATTGCCAGGTCTTGGAACTACAATAGATTGTATTCTAGTCAATGGAATGTTGAGAGAAGGTGATACAATGATAGTAGCAGGCACCGATGGTCCCATAGTGACTCAAATACGTTCGCTTCTCATGCCACAACCGTTGAAAGAGTTAAGAGTCAAAGTAAGAACTACCAGGGAAATTTACAATTCATAATGAATCGCGAACAATGCATAACGGTGCATTTTATTCAATGAATTTCAGAACGCATACATCGAACATCGTGAAATTAAAGCTGCTCAAGGAGTAAAAATCGCTGCTAAGGATTTGGAAAAAGCAATTGCAGGTAGGCAATCTTTTTATGTTTATTGGTAAGTTTTCTATAAAGAAAATGGCTGCACCATTCATTTAAGGTACTCATCGCTAATTAAGAACAGTTACAAGTTGTTACAAATTGTTAATTTTTCAAGTTCAACCATTTTGTATGAAAGTTTACATATTTGTGAAAGCAAATATTGGGTGATCCTCTATGTGTTCTTAGTTAAAGGACGTATACCTTGTATCCTAGAGTGCATAAGGAAGAAAAATATGCATAGTATGCATACATTGTACAATGAGAAAGTAAATTACACGACTGCAATTTTTGTGAACAGGACTGAATCTCCAAGTAGCTCAAAAGCCGGACGAAGTGGAAGTTTTAAAGGAAGAAATCGCGAAAGAGTTATCCAGTGCCCTCAGGAACATTCGACTCGCAGAAAGAGGGGTTTACGTGCAGGCATCAACCTTGGGTGCGCTGGAAGCGTTGCTGGACTTCTTGAAAAGCAGTAAAATACCAGTGAGTTTCATTTTGCACACCACATATTTAATTCCATGGAAAGGTCGAGTCCCAAGAAATGAGCAACATACTACAATTTAAAAAATCTCATACGGCACTATTCGTTCCACGTTACCCGTTTCATTGGTATTTTTCTTCATCGACATAACGATAGAATGATAAAATAGCGAGTAAAACGTAATCGCGGGAGCGAACAGTGCAATCAACAGAAAAGATAGACAGTGAAGCAGACAGAGAGGCAGTTCGAGGGAAAAAAAGAGCAGCAGAGAGAGGGACGAGAGAGAAAGGGAGCCAGTGAGTGTGTATGTGTGCGCGTGAGAGAGAGAGAACAGCAGCAACGAACTACTTCCTTCTTAACAGTTTAGCAGGATACGACTCATTGGTCGCATACGGTGCTTGTAGTTGTGATCCATCGTGCTATCAGCCCTGTTGTGCATCCGTGAGCACGCCTTGTAGCCTTCTATACAGGGTGTCCCGTATGTTACACGGGGTGAGTCACGACAGACAGAAACTCAACTATCTCGAACGCAGGAAAATATGACAAAGGGGAAACTTATCAAAGGATGAAGTATGCAGATGGCTCTTCATCAACGTTTTTTTAAAATATCTTTTTTAAGTTCATACTGGTTTTTTAAGCGGAATCTTTTAAATTGGTAATTGATTGTACCAATTGATTGTAATCGATGTCGAGATAATTTCAACTATGTAGGAAATTGTGATCTTGAAGTGATAGACTACAGTAATTATAAGTGACCTTGGACGACAGAAATTACGATAAATCGAGCCAAGTACTAGCACCGTGATGCAAGATTTTTTGATGATCTTTAACTATATCATAGTCAAAGATATACAATGCTATTTGAAAGAGCATCGATGATCTTAAAGAAATCTTGAAAATATCTGTATAAGCAGGAGAGTTGTTATTGCTCTCTTGATTACTTATTTTGTACAGAGTACAATAGGAAAGATGGCGATTTTGGTCTTTGAGGACGTAGAAACTTAAAAATTTTTAAATTCATGATTTAGTATGTCTCTAAATTTAATACCAGGTGCATGAGCGAGGTAGAGAATCGCGATCGAGTTGTGTACATTATACATATGAACATATATGGTTGCATTTTCTTCGTACCATGTAGCGAGCGAATCACACTGTATACGCGAGGGCAATGTGGACTTCCTTTGGATAAGGAATCGCATACCAAAGTCGAAAGTTTTTAAATTTCTAGACCCACAAATCCCTGGATCCAAAATTTCTAGATCCATAAATCCCTAGATACAAAATTTATGGACCTTCAAATTCCTTAGACCCTCAAATCAACTAATTCCTGAAATTCCTACGACTTCCAAACCCCAAGGTTTTCAAATTTATGGGTTTCCAAATTTGTACACGTTTCGAAAAATTTTTGTAAATGGTGGTTGCCACATTAGATGTAGGGAAGGCAGATTTGCCGTTGACTGTACTGGGAGTTGCGTTCGACGTCGCGAGAAAAACAGCAGGGACTAGTAGAATATAGTGGGGATTATTCCCCTACAGCTCAGCGAATCGAGAAAGTAGCGATGGTAACCGAATGTGGTTCGCTCGGTAATGCCTACGTTGAAACGCGAATATAAAGTAAGAATCGAGAAAGACCGATAATCTAATCGATCGAACAACACGGAACAGCTTATTTCCCCGAAAAATATGATTACGCGAAACACACCGTATAATGCGTGTACTCGAAAACGTGTTCGGTTGGCTGACGTGGCACGCGCAATATCGAGTTCACGGCTAGTATCATTCGACGTTGTTCCGTTCGTAGCTCTCTGGCATCGGTGCATCAACGTTCGCACGATAAAGTAGAAAAGAAAAGGAAAGAAAAGAGAGAGGGAGAGAGAGAGAGAAAAAAAGAGTAGTATAGCTAGGACGGTTCGGTTCGAGGTAACGTCCGAAACGGCCTTAAGCCTGTCCTTCCTCGGATTATGAATGGGCTACCCCCACTCGTATCGTACGATCACGTGGCTCGTGACGTCAGCTTTTATCGCCGGCATACGCGACACACGCAGCCAGCCAGCCAGCCGTAAGTACGAGTCCGTCACTCGACGGGCAATGCGGGTATGCTTTTACATATGGCACGCAGGAGGGAGTCGAAAGAGAGCGACAAAGAGAAGAGAAGAGAGAGAGAGAGAGAGAAAGAACGACAAGGGGCAACCGTCTCGTGCATCTCGCTCTTTTCTCTTTTCTTTGGACGAGAGTCGGGTTGGCGGGCTAAACTCACGCGGCATAGAGATTCTCGGAGAAGGCCCTCTCTTCTGCCAACACAGAGGAGAGACACACGGACGCGTGTGGGCTGGAAGAAGGAATACGTGATCAACATACAGGAAACTGCCCACACTCGGAGCAAAAGCACCGTGGGTGGACGGACGGATCGACGAACGGGCGGACGTATATACACGACTGGGAATCGTAACCCTCTGTCGGCCCGTAAACCCGTGTTGCCGTGTTGCGCCAGAGATGAGACACGAATATCGTGCACCGGCTGGTATGCGCCTCATTGATTCCAGTATCGTTACTGCCGCGGGCATCCGTCTTACAGCTGCACCTATCCGCGCACTATCGATTTCTCATTGATATTTAACGATACACTTCTAATATCGTTAACTATGGCTAATCGACGTTAAACGTAACTCATAATTTTACGTTTCAAATTTATTTATTTCTACTGGAACCGTCATTTGTGTTATTAGGTTAGTTAGGTTAGGTCTGGGGTTAGGTTACTATGTTTCGTAGGTTAAGTTTCGGGTTAGCTACTAGGTTTCTTAGGTTAGAACTCGGGTAGGGTCACTAGGTTTCTTAGGTTAGTCTCGGGTTAGGTTACTAGGTTTCTTAGGTTAGGTCTCGGGTTAGGTTACTGGGTTTCTTAGGTTAGATTCGGGTTAGATCACTATGTTTCTTAGATTAGGTCTGGGGTTAGGTTAGATTAAATTGCTGGGTTAGGTCTAGGGTTAGGTCAGATTTCTAGTTTAGGTCTTGGGTTAGGTTAGATTTCTAGTTTATGTCCGGGGTTAGGTTAGATTTCTAGGTTAGGTCTGGGGTTAGATTAGGTTAAATTGCTAGGTTAGATTTCTAGGTTAGGTCTGGGGTTAGATTAGGTTAAATTGTTAGGTTAGGTCCGTGGTTAGGTTAGATTTCTGGGTTAGGTCTGGGGTTAGATTAGGTTAAACTGCTATGTTAGGTCCGGGGTTAGGTTAGGTTAAATTGCTAGGATGAGTAGATTGAGTCGCGGATTAGATTAATTAGTCTTGGTTTCGGGTTAGGTTACTATGTTAGGTTGGATCTCTGATTAGATTAAGTTGCTGGGGTAGTTAGGTCTCAGATTTATTTAAATTGCGTTGCTAAGTAAATTTTTATGCATGTATGTTATAATGCATTAATATGTGCATGTACAGCGCGATAACTGTAATGTTCATTATAATGCGAAACAGTTGGTATCGTTATCGTAATGAGAATAATGATTAGTATCATTATCGTAACGAGAATAAGAGTTAATATCGTTATCATAACGAGAATAAGGATAGCTATCATTATGATAATGGAAATAAGTTAATGAGAGGAAGGATTAACATGTTGACACATTGAGGAAGTTTGATAGATTGGGTAATATTTTTATTTTTAACAAAGCTTACTAAATATTTTATTATATCAGGCACTCACATTTCCAAATAATTCATTACAGTACTTTTAATTAGATAATCGAATAAATTTCTAATAATGTAGATGATGGATTCAGAGAATTTGTAATGATAAATATAATTATAATATATACGATTGAGTAGAAATTTAAATGTCACACACGAATGGCAGTCGTTACTAAGAAATTAAAGTGCACGATGCTCGAAATTTCAGCATACGATTCACTCTAAAATTAAAGGGAAGACGGGGCGAATTCGATACCCGTTCACCGATCACTATTTGTCGATGTCCGCGAAAATATCGTGAACGCTCGCGAATAACGCTTAGTATTTACGAAGCGAGTTGCTTCGCTTCGGCTTCGAGCGCATACGTAGGCATATCCGCTCGATTATGATGGCGTTGGCAAATTGAAGATTCTTGCCGAGCGTCTTCCTGTCCTCGTCCTGTTTAGACGAGCAGGATCGGAATAAATAGTTTAACCGGGACACGCGCTATTCTTCTTGGAACGAGCCCTGGACACGCGGCTCGATTAATAATTAACCGTCGTCTTTTCTGATACTACTCACGTACAAATTAACGTTTTAAGTCCTCGAACGTACATAATCTTTCGAGAAAACAAACGATCACGAAGCCGCTGTTAAATCAAAGCAAACGATCACATACCGTCAATTATTTTGTCCTATATTCTTATCTCTGATAGCGTTAGTTTCCTGTATTTGTTGGGTCACATATTCTTTAATTGTGATACTTGTAAATTTTTATATTATTAACCCATTTGCTACAGCGGTCTCCAAACAAGGATTTAAATATATTCAATGTCGCCCAATGTGCACCCCAAATTCCAAGGTTCGAAATTTGTCCACGTCCTTAATTTCCAAATGGTACGAAACGTCAGTATCAGATACTGACAATATCTTATACCAAAAAGGTTAAAAGTCAGATACCAATAAAAGAATTAAATCTGGATTCCCTTGAACCAGCAAGAATTCACTTGACCTACGTCGAGTTAGACAGTTAAGTTTGAGCATCTGCAGGGATGTAAAGAGACGAATCGAAGGGAGAAAGTTTGCGGGATTATTTTTGGGATTTTGTCGTAGTGTGCGGTGCGGTCGGTTCCGTTGCATCGTGAATCGTGACGAGCGGAGGTGCAGCTCGCGCTCCTCTTCTGCAGCAGCAGGAAAAGATGGCTCGTTTCCTCGCATTGTTTTTAACCGCGGCATAGAAGCAGCTATACCGGGACATGGGAGCGGATATGCGGAGCGCGGACACGCGAGTGCACGCTCTGTCGGTTGTGTGCCGGCATCCTACGATGTTCGTGCTACAGGTTGTA